AATTCCTGAAAGTGCATTGCATGTGTAACAAACTGAAAACAAAACCATCCGAACCCTTATGTACAATATTGAGTGAGATTGCGCGGTTGTCAGAATTAGAACCAATCCAAAAACAAGACGCGGAACAATGCCATTAGCTGATGAGATGAGCGGGAAATTTCCACGCTCAATCTCGACGCGCGAGCCCCTGGCGTAAACGAATCAAATGCGTTGCCGAGCCTAATTCGATTTTACCTCGATTGGTTCCCACAATTTGGGAAATCGCAGCTTGCGACCTTCAGTGAGTCGCGTCAAAAACCAAGTTCGCCAGTAACTTCTGCTCCAGTTAGTTTTCGGGCCTGAAAAGTTAGTTTTCGAACCCGTCAATTTTCGGATGGCGATGCGACCCATCCTTCGCCGCGATTTCCCCGTCAGTGACGCGCACCGCGTTTTAATACGTCCACGGGTCAGCGTTTGAGGCGCCACATCCTCTAGTCAGCTTTTGAGCGCCTTAGGTCCCCTGACAAGCCTCATGCACCAGAGGGCAGTAATTCAAGGCTCTAAGCACTTCTCTCTCCCATCTGCCCCATCTGCCCCATCTGCCCTAGCGCTGGACATGCGTGAATGGCCGCGCTTACGGGTGAGCGATGGGGGCCGGGAAGGTTTGGAAGTGGGGATTAGAGGTGACGGAGGGATAAACGGTGATGGCGCAGGACATGCGCGAGTAGCCGCGCCTACAGGTGAGCTAGAGGGGGAGGGTTGAGGGGATACGGGGGATATGGAAGGGTTGAGAGGCGATGGGGGGATCAAGATGACAAGGATTCAGGATCGTGAGGTCTAAGAAGATGTAGGGGTCCTCTCCTCTGTCCTTTGTCACCCCTTTCAACCAACCCCATCCCCCTCCCCCACGCCTCTCTCCAACGCCTCTCCCCCACTCCTCTTGCCCACACCACTCCACCACACCTCTCCCTTCCCCCCCCCCCCCCCCCTCCCCCATGCCTCCACCGCCCACCCTGCCCGTGCTGCTGCCAGGAGGAGTCAGCCCCTGAGGAGGCAGTGGGGTCCTGTGGGCAGTGTACGTCCCCACTCCCCCACGCCCCTCCCTTACGCCTCTCCCTGACCCTTCCCTCCCACTCCCGCCTCCCTCTCTCCCACCCCTCTCCCGCACCCCTTTCCCATGTACACTAGCCGACCAGCAGTCTGCAGGAACTTTTGGAGTCTGTATTTCGTTCCTGCACCCCGCACCCCTTTCCCATGTACATCGTGAAATGACAGTGCAGGGAGAGCGCGCGCTCTCGCCACACCTTCCTGTTATTGCTGGTCACGTCAGTCATTGTCGGTCCTTGCCTGTCGTTATCCGTCGCTGCCGTCCCTCCTTGGTCGTCCTTGTCCGTCTTCGTCGCTCGCGCGCTTCCCTCACCACCCTTTTGCGCTTGTTTCGATTTCCCCCCTCTTCCCTCCCCCTCCCCCCCCCCCCCCCCCCCCCCCCCCCCTCACCTCCTCCTCCCCCCTCCCCTCCCCTCCCTCCCCACCCTGCCGCGCACCAACTTCCCCGCGCAAATCTCCGCGCGCCTGCTGCGCGTAACGGTGCGTGCAGACTCGGCTGGTGCTGATAATCAAACCCGCACGAGGCAGAGCGGCGGCAGCAGATGGGCATGGAGAGTGGGAGCGGGTGCTCCCCAGACCAGATCGCATCGCCGACTCCTTCCTCAAGGTGCGGACGAGGGGCTCGGGGAAGGAGAAGTGGGCTCGGGGAAGGAGAAGTGGGCTCGGGGAAGGAGAAGTGGGCTCGGGGAAGGAGAAGTGGGCTCGGGGAAGGAGAAGTGGGCGCGGGGAAGGAAAAGTGGGCTCGGGGAAGGAGAAGTGGGCTCGGGGAAGGAGAAGTGGGCTCGGGGAAGGAGAAGTGGGCTCGGGGAAGGCTCGGGGAAGGAGAAGTGGGCGCGGGGAAGGAAAAGTGGGCTCGGGGAAGGAGAAGTGGGCTCGGGGAAGGAGAAGTGGGCTCGGGGAAGGAGAAGTGGGCTCGGGGAAGGCTCGGGGAAGGAGAAGTGGGCGCGGGGAAGGAGAATTGGGCTCGGGGAAGGAGAAGTGGGCTCGGGGAAGGAGAAGTGGGCTCGGGGAAGGAGAAGTGGGCGCGGGGAAGGAGAAGTGGGCGCGGGGAAGGAGAAGTGGGCGCGGGGAAGGAGAAGTGGGCGCGGGGAAGGAGAAGTGGGCGCGGGGAAGGAGAAGTGGGCGCGGGGAGGGGAGATGTGGGGGCGGGGGGGAGAGGGCTGGGAGATGGCTAGGAGAGGGGAGTGGGGGGGTGGGGAGGGGTTGGAAGAGGGGGAGAGGGGGGGAAGGCATGGAGAACGAAAGCGGGTGCTTTCCTGACGAGATCAGGGGGACTCATTCCTCGAGGTGCGCCGGGGATGAGGGGGAGGGTCGCAGAGAGAGTTGAGGGGAGGGTGGGGCAAGGTGGGAGGGGAGAAGGGGGGAAACATCATTGTTTTGCGGAGCATTCGTGGTAGCTAGGCCCGTTATCAGACAAGCTCCTGAGCTCATGCGAGTTGAGCTCGATCTCGTGAGGCAAGGTTTCAAATGTCAATCACTGTTTCCGCAAACCGCTTTTGCCATCTTAGCCCAGTTCGTCTGAAATGGCAGCAGGAGGAGCGCGCGCTCTCGCCGTATCTGTATGTGATCGTTGGTCATGCCAGTTATTATGGGCCCTGGTCTGTCGTTATCCATTGCTGCCCGTCTTCCTCGTTCGCGCACGTCGCTCACCTCCCTTTTGCCCTCGTTTCAATTTCTCTACCCTGCCGCGCGCCAACCTCCCCGCGCCAATCTCCGCTCGCCTGCCGCGCGTAACAGTGCGTGCAGATCCGGCTAGTGCTGATGATATGATGATCGGGCGAACGTGACGTGAGGTCCTACAATTCCTTACTCATGGTGCTGATGATTTATGACCTGCACGAGGCGGAGCGGCGGCGGCAGAAGGGCCTGGAGAGTGAGATTTGATGATGGAGGGGAGGGTGATATTGCCTTCCTCGAGGTGGGGGCGAGGGTGGGGAGACGTGGGCGCGGGGGAGGGGAGTTGTGGGGGCGGGGAGAGGGCTGGGAGAGGGGAAGGGAGGGTAGGGGGGCATGGAGAAGGAAATTGAGTGCTCTCTCGATGAGGTTGCGCACGCCTTCCTCGAGGTACGCCAGGGGAAGCGGGGAAAGGCGCCCTTGGCGAGTTGGGGAGAGGGCGGGGCAGTGGGGAGAGGGAAGAAGGGGTGCGAGGGAATGGGGGGCTTGGTTGGTGATGGAAGTGTGAGAGTAGCCCAGCGAGGAGAAATGCGCGGCGATGGACGCACACTAACAGTCGTTTTTGCGAAAGTCCTGAACCCTCTCACTTTTCTCCTGCCCCCGCCACCCGTGCGACATTGAACGCTCATGTGTGCACACACTGTGCGACATCCCCCACCCCTCCCCCCCCCCCCCCTCCCCCATCTCCCTTTCCCCCTTCCCCCGTCCCCCCCAGTGAACCGGGCAGTGGCCGTCGCTGTCACATGCGTCTGCAGGTGAACTGCTGGACGCCACACTGTTCGGCCCCTCACTGCCCAACCTCCTGCTCTGCTCCTCCTCCACACCGTCGCCTGCCCCTTGCTTGCTGGCCCTAGAGACTGCCGGCCTCCCCCTGCTGGCGTCGCCCGAACCCACGCGCCCATGCTGTTGCTGCATGCGCATGGCCTGCTCTGCATGTCCATGGGCTTCCTCATGCCTGCTCTCGTGGCCGCTGTGTAGCGCGGCCCATGGTGATGGCGGCGGTGGAGAGGAGAAGCTTGTAAGGCGGATGGAGGGGGGGCGGCTGGACGTGCTGGGGGTGGACATGCCGCTTGTGCTGGTGCTGGCACGGGCAACGTGCAGCACAGCTTGCGCGGATTGGCTGTCATTTGCGTGGCAGACGGATTGCATGGGCGCAGGTGGATTGGGAGGGGAGGGGAGTGGAGAAAAGGAGAGAGGAGGGATGGGATGGGATGGGATGGGATGGGATGGGATGGGGTGGGGTGGGGTGGGATGGGATGGGATGGGATGGGATGGGTTGGGTTGGGATGGGATGGGATGGGATGGGATGGGATGGGATGGGATGGGATGGGATGGGATGGGATGGGATGGGATGGGATGGGATGGGGATGGGATGGGATGGGACGGAGCGGGAGGGGAGGGAGAAGTTGGGACGGGATGGGATGGGTTGGTATAAGGCCAGCACTATCGGAGCAAGAGGTGGAGATGGGTTGGTGCATGTGCTGGTGGTGGCCCCACTGAATGATCACTGGGGAGGTGCAGCTGGGGAGGTGCAGCTGGGGAGGTGCAGCTGGGGAGGTGCAGCTGGGGAGGCGCAGCTGGGGAGGTGCAGCTGGGGAGGTGCAGCTGGGGAGGTGCGCTGTCACACCACAGTGCCTGCCCCATGCTCCCAGCACTGCTGATGGTGTCCACACACCACAGCACCCTGCCCGCACGGATGCCTCGTGACTCGCACTCACTTTCTCATTCGCTCTATCTGCTCGCACTCCTCCACCTCTCCTCCAATCGTCTCTTCCGTCTCACCATCCACTGTTCTTACCCCCCCCCCCCCCCATTCATCCACCCATGCCCCTCACCTAGAGCGGTGGTGGTGTCGACACCGCAGGACCTCGCACCGATGGATGCGCGGTGGGGAATGACCATGTTCCGACAGCTCACGTGTTGGTGGGTCATGGAGGGGTGGGTCTTGGGGTGGTGGGTCATGGGGTGCTGGTATGGTGGTTAGTACACAGTAAGAGTAATTATCTTCCAACAAGTCAACGTGCCGGTGTGTTCTGTCTTGGTGTCACGGAGTGATGCTGGGTGTTGCGATGATGGGGTAGTTAGTGTTCTAGTGAGATTTATGTCTGATCAGTACGCTCCTCTCCTCTCTCATGCCTTTTTTACACAAACGCTTCCAATCCCACAACGCTTCCTTTTCTGGCTGTGCATGCTCCAATCCCACATGTCTTCATTGTGCTGCCTTTTCGTGAACGCCTCTCTCACATCCCACACCACTTGTTCACAACTACGTTCAAACGATGCGGTGTGGAAGGATGAAGATGCAGTGAGGTGGAGCAATACAGTGCAGAGCAGGGTCTAGGGGTGCACATCACTGAAGGCTGAGAGCGGGTCGGCACATCACTGGATTGATTTTTGTGCCCAATCACAGCAGCAGATTCTCAGAACTCATAAGATGGGTAAGAAACTTATCCAAATATTACAGGTGGGTAAGGCCATCTGACAGAATGCTTTTTTGTTTCAGCTACGCAGGAGTTAGCATGTTGCCATGTAATGGTGATTTAACATTCAGTAATTTACCAAGCCTTAAATCTCTCTCATCTGTGATTCCCCTGTCATAGTCCCTCTGTATTCTCCCTCGACCTCCTACCATGTATGAGCTACTGCGCACCCCTATCCTTCCCTCCCCTCCCCTCCGCTCCCACCTTCCTTCTCTCTTCCTTCCTATTCTCAACTTTGCCACCAACCTTCAAGCTTTCCTCACTGACGCTTTCACACATATGCCCGGCACTGTCCTTGCACCTGCCCATGCAACTGACCTCGCCAATCATCTTTCCAACCTGCCTGCGAATTTCCTCACAACCACTCTCACCGCAACCCACACAACCACTCTCCTTGCCAATCATGCGACCATCCTTCCTCCAACACCGCTCCCATCCTTCCCATTCTTCTTCCCACTGATTCTGCCGGGGCATGTGAGCTTGTGGGAGGGCCAGTGCGCCGTTTGGCACTCTCTGCTGCAATACCCCACCTTGCCACACCCACCGCACCTCCTCAGCTTCCCTCCGCCACCCTTCACCGTCCCACATCCCGCAGCACCGCACACACGGCCTTGGACACCTGAAGCAGCAGCAGCGGTAGCAGCAGATGCAGCACGGATGCTGTCTGCAGGATGGGTGGAAGCAGCAGGATGGGTGGAAGCAGTAGCAGGATGGGTGGAAGCAGTAACAGGATGGGTGGAAGCAGTAACAGGATGGGTGGAAGCAGTAACAGGATGGGTGGAAGCAGCAGGATGGGTGGAAGCAGTAGCAGGATGGGTGGAAGCAGTAGCAGGATGGGTGGAAGCAGCAGGATGGGTGGAAGCAGTAACAGGATGGGTGGAAGCAGTAGCAGGATGGGTGGAAGCAGTAACAGGATGGGTGGAAGCAGTAGCAGGATGGGTGGAAGCAGTAGCAGGATGGGTGGAAGCAGTAGCAGGATGGGTGGAAGCAGTAACAGGATGGGTGGAAGCAGTAGCAGGATGGGTGGAAGCAGTAGCAGGATGGGTGGAAGCAGTAGCAGGATGGGTGGAAGCAGTAGCAGGATGGGTGGAAGCAGTAGCAGGATGGGTGGAAGCAGTAGCAGGATGGGTGGAAGCAGTAGCAGGATGGGTGGAAGCAGTAGCAGGATGGGTGGACGCAGTAGCAGGATGGGTGGACGCAGGATGGACGGAAGGGGCAGCAGGGGAGGCAGGGCGGTAGCACGGCTCCCCCAGCAGCATCTCTCGCAGACAAGCCACCAGATTGACTCCCCCCGGCCACGCCTTCAGATACGCTGGCTCCTCCCCCGTTTTGCCCTTCTTCTCACAGCCGTCGTTGCGGCTGCTACCCTTGTTGCTGCTCCCCATGGCAGACCTTTGCTGCCCCTGCAACCCCTCACAGTATCTCGGGATGATCGCCGCTGCAAGAGCCCACGTGATGTCAAACCCCCCTGTAAGCCTCTCCTGCTCTCTGCTGCCGCTGCACTTCTCACTCCCTCCCTCAACCCTCAGCTTCGACATCCATGTCTTCATTGTTGCAACGTACCACATTTCCACCTCTTCCCACACCTCTCCACCGTTCGCCTGATCCATCTCACCATCCCAGCAGCCTTGCACCTTCACACTGCCACCTTTTCCCATTTCCACCACTCCTTTTTTTCGTGCACCTGACTGCACTCCCTGCCCTTTCTCACTGTACCCTCCCTCACTGTACCCTCCCTCACTGTACCCTCCCTCACTGTACCCTCCCTCACTGTACCCTCCCTTAGAACAAGCAAGATTCAGAAGAGGACGAGCGCACCACACGGCCATGTGAATGAGGAAGTACAGAGGCACCTGCTCGGCTCGCCTCAGCAGCATGTGCGGGTTCAACGGCCTGGGCAGGCGTGCTGGGAGGTCTAAGCACTCAACCAGCTTGTCGAAGCCAGGGGAGGAGGGAGGGAAGACGGAGAGTACGCGGGAGAAGAGATGGCTGACGGGGCGGTAGGCGGAGTTGGCACTGAGAGCGACTGTGAATACAAATTGCGCGAATTCTGCAGAGCACGTGCTGCAGTGGGTGCATGCAGGAGGGTCCATGATATACCCAGCAAACCCCACCAGGAAGTCCACGTCTGCCTCGCAGCGAACGATAGGAAGCTTCCTTCTTGGGGGTGGCAGTGTTACTCTCTGCTCGTCGTTCCCAGATGCTTTGGCTCTTCCACGCGCTCTGCTCTGTATGGATTCCTCCCAAGCTCCTTGCTCTATTGACTTGGACACTCTCCGCCTTGCACTCATGCTGCCCCCTCCTGCTTCAGCTATCCCTCGCGCCATGCTCCATTCTCCTTCCTGAGTACCTCCTTGGCCTTCTTCATTGGATCCTTTCTCCTTTGCACGCCTGCTGTCCCCTCCTGCTTCAGATGTGTGCTGACGAGGACGCCCAATCAGCTTCTCACCTGTTTCACCACGGTCCTCCACAATCCCAAGCCCGAAACACCTTTCCTTTCGGTTCACAGAAACTTCACAGCAGCTTCCTCGCCTGCAGGCCACTCCTCCCACTCCAAAGCAATGCTGCTTCCTTCTATAGGCTTCGGGATGGCTCCGAACCTGACCAGAAGGCTAGGAAGGTCCCGAAGTGGATGGCGCATGGACCTGACCTTGCTCTGAGGGTCGTTTATGAAGCACTGTTTCTCCGAGATGGAATCTGAGCCGTAGACCCGGATCCACTGCAAGATGCAACCAACTCGATAGGTGAGTGGAGCAACCGCCGGGTTTGTATTGACAGGCACGAGTCTAGAGTTTGCACTAGGCAGGGCCGCTCCTGCATCTGCCCCTTCTTCTCCATCCATCCCCATTGTCTGCTCCAGGCAATGCAGCAGCCTCTTCCTGGCCACCTCAACAGCTGCACTCTCTAACTTCATCTTGTTCAAATTGTTCCCATCATGGAAGAACAGCCATGCATCTATCCAGTGCTCTGGTTTAGATAATACCGTGGTCACAGCAAGGGCGAAATCGGTCGCATTTACACCACTCACATGCATGCCCTTCGGAGCACTGCTGCATCTACTGCTGCTGCCACAACTGCTGATTTTGCTGCTGCTGCTGCTGCCCCCCTCACTGCAGTGGCTGCACCAGAACTCCCTCCCTCCCCCCCCACCATGTTCCAGAATCCACTTCATGCCATCCACATACCTCTCCCACACACGTCCCTTCAAATGCGCCCTCCACTTCACCTTGTTTTGTGCCCTCCCCCACTTGCCAACAACCCCATTTATCTTTACCTTGCTCCCTGCCTCTTCCTCTCCATGTCTCCCATCCTCCCTCCCATGTGAAGCCTCGCACATGCCCTTCGACCCCCCATACTTCTTCTCGACAGCCTTCTCCTCAGCCAACCCCATCCCCTTCCCCTTTCCATGCACCTTCTCGGCAGCCTTGCCCCCACCTCCCCCCCTCCCCTGTGCATGCGCCTTCTCCAGCCCGCCTGACAGCAGTTGCTGCACAAAGAACCCAAACCCTTCCTGCAGATCAGCACTTTCCTTCACCCCCAGCACCTGCACCAGCATGGACGCAAAATTGTCAAACTCCCCCTGCCTTCCCGCCCCCAGCTCAGCGACAATTGCTGGCCAGACAGACGAAGACGAGACCAAGTGAGCTTTCCACAGAGTCACAAGGCGGGGGGATCTCGCCACAAGCACAAGGAACGTTGAGAAGCTTACAGCACGGCGGTAGGCAGCCCAGCAGCTGCTGCAGCGCCAGCAGCAGGACCACACTGCAGCAGCAGCAGGGGCAGGAGGAGCAGTAGGAACAGCAGGGGCAGCAGCAAGGGCAGCAACAGGGGCAGCAACAGGGGCAGCAACAGGAGCAGCAACAGGGGCAGCTGGAGCAGCTGTTGCATCCAGGATAGCAGGCAGGCGAGATCTGATCTTCTGCAGGTCCATGAGCACACCCACACAAGGATCAGCCATCCACTCGAGAAACATCCGTTCCGCGCAAAGGCGAGGCGCCCTCTCGGGATTCCACACAAATAGCACCTGAGAAGACATTGCATGATGCTGCTGCTGCTTGGGATCTGCTGCGAGGATGCAACGAGGCTGCTGCGCGCGCAGGTGGCGACACAAGTCCTCCAGGTTCTCCATGGCAAGAGCTCGCCGTGCTTGCTGGCTCACTGCACGGTCAAAGCAGCACGCGCACAGATCCTCATCCCACCCGCCCGTCACGTTCAAGTAGTGAACCACGTCCGCTCGAGACAGCAGCTGAAGTGGCTTTAGATTTTCTTCCAATAAAGTTTTCCCTTCTGCTCCTCTGGTTGCTCCGGTGGGCTGTCCCGCTCCATCCGGGTCATTCTGGACTGCAGAACCATGTGCGCTTTGCAACACCCCAGGATTTTTCATCCGCTCTTCCAATTTCATAGTGAACTGCACCAAGCGTGCTATTTTCGCGTCATAATCCTCTTCTTCCTCCTCTGCTGCCTTCTCTGCTTCTCCTCTGTTTGCGGCACTGAATTGACCTTGTCCTGCCCCCAGCAAGGCATACAGAACTTGCAGCCGCTCTTCCAATTCTTGAAGCTCTAACCAATGTTCATGTTTGGCGGCACCTTCCTTCCCCTCTTCCTTGCCCTTGCTACTGTCAGCATCAGAATCACTGGAATTCAGCTCTGCTCCGCCAGTTCCTGTCGGGGCTCCTCTCATAGGCTTGTGCCTCTCGTCTTCCTTGGTACTAGGCATGATGGGATCCAGTTGGGTAAAATAGCCAACAAACGTAGCAGCAAGATTCGACGGAGTGAGAGGGAACGAAGGACGACGCACACCAGTAGTAGATTCAACAGCAGCAGCTTCCCTGAACTGATCAGATTTCGTCTCGCCCTTACCTATGCACTTTTTCCAGTGAGGACTCGTTGCTGGTTGTACATGTACTGAGCTTGGATTGCTCAATTGTCAAGCCAAGAAACGGCAAACTTGCAGCCCAGTGTCAAACAATATGTTTAATATATACCCTGCGTGCTGTAGGTACTGTAGTTATTATTATTAAGAGTTGGTGGTGCACCTTCTATGTTACTTTGCTATATGTACCTTGTGTGCTATAGTGAAACCCCTCTTTCCTTGCCTAAACTCTCTCGTCACTTTCTCCTCTTCACCCTAGCATGGCTCCTCACCTCTAGCTACTATCTTGACATGGTACAGAGCTGGTTCTTTCCCGGAACCTTCTCTTTTTTTTAAAGAATTATGGGCCCGCCCGTACTACAGCGCGAAATGCGCTATTTTTTTCTCCCCGTTCGCCCGTCACGCGCGCCCTGCCCGTCCCCCCGAACGTGCCACGTCGGCTGCCTCGCGGACGCCCCGTCGGCTGCCCCGCGGACGCCCTGCCCGTCGCCCGCTGCCCCCCAGTTCCCGTCGTCCGCGAACCCCGTTTCGTCGCCTCGCGGCCCCCCGTTCCGTCGCCAGCGCCCGCGCCAGCCCGGACCGCAGGCGCCGCCGCCAGCGTGGCCCGTCAGCGCGGACGCCACCACCGCGGCCAGCCGCCACCGCCAGCGCCAGCCGCCCGCGCCAGCGCCAGCAGCAGCTACCGCCAGCGCCAGCAGCAGCTACCGCCAGCGCCAGCAGCAGCTACCGCCAGCGCCAGCAGCAGCTACCGCCGCCCTGCCCCCTCCCGCCCGCCCTCCCTTCCACTGCTTCCGTCGTGGGGGGGGGGGGAGGAGGGGGAGATGTGGGGGTGGCGGGTGTGAGGTTGTGAGGAGCCAGCACCTCCTCCCTCCCTTCCCTCTTCCTCTCTCCCTGCAGCACTTGTTGCTGTAGGGGGGGGGGGGGGGGGGGGGGCGGGTGTGAGGAGCCTGCCACTCCTCCCTCCCTTCCCTCTTCCTCTCTCCCTGCAGCAACTGTTGCTGTAGGGGGGGGGGGGGGGGGGGGAGAGAAGTGCAGAAGGGTGAGGGGGTGGCGGGAGAAGACAGGTGCGGAAGGTGTGAGGTTGACGGGGTTGAGTGACGAGGGGGTGAGGACTAGGGGGTTCTTAACGGGGGGGGATCGCATTGAGCGTGCGCGCTCATGCCCGCCTAGCCCACCTCCTCTCCTCATCGGGACTTGGGGGTTCTTAACGGGGGGGGATCGCTATGAGCTTTCGCGCTCAAGCCCGCCTAGCCCACCTCCTCTCCCTTCCCTCTCTCACCTCCCCTTTGTAAAAGGAGGTTCGTAAGCGGGTCCGCCGGTCCTGGCCCCCCACCTCCTCTCCTCTCCTCTCCTCTCCTCTCCTCTTCTCTCCTCTCCTCTCTCCTCTCCTCACTTCTCTGCCTTCTTCCACAGCGCTTGGTTTGCTCGTTCAGGGGGTGCTGGCTGCACCAGTTTCTACCGCACGCAGGCTAAGGGGGTGTGTCAAACAATATGTTTAATATATACCCTGCGTGCTGTAGGTACTGTAGTTATTATTATTAAGAGTTGGTGGTGCACCTTCTATGTTACTTTGCTATATGTACCTTGTGTGCTATAGTGAAACCCCTCTTTCCTTGCCTAAACTCTCTCGTCACTTTCTCCTCTTCACCCTAGCATGGCTCCTCACCTCTAGCTACTATCTTGACACCCAGACCCAGAGTCACGAACGAGCCTGTTGCTTCAAATCTGTGAAAGTTTGCTCTGCCGCTTTATCACGACCTAAATGCTGCTGACGTCTCGCATGGCGGGAAGCACATCGGAAAAATGTCCGCCCAGTTTGCGGCGATTGACAGTCGAGGAGGTGAAGCAGCGTGGGAGTTGATGGTCGTGCACCGAGTGACTAGTTAACGAGGCAGTCATCTGCCCAAAACTGGTGGTTCTGTCAACGGTGGTTGACAATCAATTTTCGGAGCGAAGGTAGGTATAGAAGAGCGGTGGTTCACACGGCAACCACGCTCGGATTCTGTTAAACTGTATTATGTTGGTAGGCTGTAGTGGGGTAGCTAATATGGGGTACAACCCCAACTAGGGTTTGCTACTTGTACCCAATTCTTCCATTCAATGCATCATTCTTGCCTAGTTCTTTTGAAATGGTATTCAGAGCAGGAGGTCCCTAGGACCTACCGACCGTTTTTTTTTTAAGGGCCCACCACCGCTCGCATGCGGTTACCACGCTACCCCGTGCCCTAGCCTCGTAGCGCCCTCGTGCGCCCTCGTTAGCGCCCTCGTGCGCCCTCGTTAGTGCCCTCGTGCGCCCTCGTTAGTGCCCTCGCGCGCCCTCGTTAGCGCCCTCGTGCGCCTCTCGTTAGCGCCCTCGCGCGCCCTCGCTAGCGCCCTCGCGCGCCCTTGTTAGCGCCCTCGTGCGCCTCTCGTTAGCGC